TAGATGATAGTTTGAAATATAGATATGATAGATAGAGATAGAAAAATATAGATATAGAAATAGTAAGATAGACAGATAGATGATAGAAATAGATAGATAGATAGAGACAGAGATAGATAGATAGAGATAGATACACAGAGAAATATAGATAGATATATAGACAGAAATAGATATAGATAGATATGATAGATACAGATAGAAATAGACAGATAGATGATAGAAATAGATAGAGATAGATAGATGATAGAGAGATAGATATGATAGAGATAGATAGAGATGGATATATAGATATATAGATAGAGATAGAAATAGATATAGAAATAGAATGATAGGTGATAGAAATAGATAGAGATAGATAGAGGTAGAGATAAATTGATAGAGATATAGATTAGATAGATAGATAGACAGAAATAGAGATAGATATATAGAGATATAGATAGATGATAGTTCGAAATAGATATAGAGATAGAAATAGATAGATAGATATAGAAATAGTAAGATAGACAGATGATAGAAAGATAGATAGATAGATAGATAGATAGATAGATAGATAGATAGATAGATAGATAGATAGATAATCGTAAGTCATAGACTCCCCTTATTCCCTTTGAATCCCCTCCATTAACGTAATTAACAATGGAAACAGAAGGGATATAAATAGAACGTAAAGAGATTATTTACATAAATCTGCCTGGACCCCAAATGGTTAAACTTCTCCCCCCCAAACAAAACCCTTATTTTTTTTTGTTTTTTTTAATAGGGGAACAAAAATCCGCCTGACTTCCCAGCCCATAATATCCTCGTTTCATGGCTCCCCCCGGGATTTCCTAAACCGCTCCGCCCTGAGAGAGCAGAGCTGAAACGCCACAGGCCAAAAGGGGAGGTGGCTGGTGTTTTTGGGGGGGGGCAGGGGGAGGAGACCCAGAAGGCCCAAGGACCCCCCCCAGCAATCTGGACCCCCCCCCATTTTTAAAGCCCTGCCGCTCCGGCCGCATCTTCCCAAAACGGACTCGAAATGAGGATCGATTTTGAAGACTGGCGGTCCTCCAGTTACGACCGCAAGGGAGTTCCCCATTTCGGTCGCTAAATGGGTGTTGTCCCCCGTGTTAACGCCCATTCTTGCCCCCGTTGTTCAGAGAATCCCTACCGTCGTTAAGTCAGTCAGCCGGTCGTGAAGTGAATCGGGCTCTTCCCCGTCGACTTCGCTTGTCAGAAGGTCGCAAAAGCGGATCGCGGTGCGTCCCCCGGACACGACAAGCGTCAGAAAGACGAGCCGGTGGCCAAACACTCGAATTTTAGTCATGGGGCCCCGGGGAATGCGGCAACGGTCGTAAGCGTGAGTCGTTTTTTTTAAGACGCCGGGCAATGGGTTCGTATTTGTCACCGTGGCCGTGTCCCCTTTTGCGACCTTCCGGCGAGCCACGTCAATGGGGAAAATCCGGGTTTGCTTAACGACCGGGTGACCGACGGCGATCCACTGAAGAGCTACGGCAAGGAAGGCGGGAAAATGGGGCCAAACGTACTTAAGCGATGCCTCGCTTAACGACAGAAATGTGGAACGCCACTGTGGTTGTAACTCAAGGACTGCCTGGTATTTAGGTTTGCAAACGGGCGGTCTTTGAAGGCTGCCTCTGCTCTCCGGGACGCAGCTTGGCCTCGCCTCCTTTCTTTTTTCCCTGCTCTTTCTCCCGTGCTGCTGCACCCCCCTTGCTTCTTGAACCACTCACTCCCATCTCAGTTTGCTCTTTCCTTCAGAAACCCTGACGATTGGCGGAAGAGACTCCAGCTGCTGGCAAGATGGGTGCGGCTGAATCAGGTGAATCTCGGTTAGGAGAAGGGTGGGAGGTGCCGTCTTCTGACGCGCCGCTCTTCAGGGGGTCTCGGCTGCAGCCTACGACGGTCCGTGGCCGACTCGCAACCGGGCCCCATGAGCGGCTGGCTGGTGCGCGCGTGTGTGCTCGCGGGCACAGCCCCATTCACGCGAACGTCGCGGGCATTTGGGGACTCACTCGCGCAAGTGTTGTGGGTGTTCTGGGCCTCACCCGTGTGTCACACTCTGGGCCCCACTTGCGTGAGGAACCGGGCCCTTGAGTGGCTGGCTGGTTCGTGCGTGTGTATGCGGGTACACAGCTCCACTTACGCAAGTCTTGCGGGCACTAAGGGCCTCACTCGTGCGAGTCTCGCAGGGCTAAGGGCCTCACATGCGGGAGTCTCACAGGTGCTATGGGCCTCACTCGTGCGAGTCTCGCAGGCGCTAAGGGCCTCGTGCGAGTCTCGCAGGTGCTAAGGGTCTTTCTCGCGCGAGTCTCGCAGGTGCTCTTGGCCCCACTTGTGTAAACAACCGGGTCCTTGAGAGGCTGGCTGGTGCACATGTGTGTTTGCGTGTGCACAGTCCCACTCGTGAGCATCGGGGGCGTTCGGGGCCTCAAATTGTGCAAGCGTCGCAGGCATTTGGGGCCTAAGACAGAAACGTGTGGTACCAACTCTGCTTACTTCCCTCCATGTGGACATCGCACCGTTAAGGATGACTCGTTTGAGTACGGCTTCGTCAGCCAGTTACAAATCCGTCGGGTGGCGATGCTGCGTGTCCCACATTTTTTTTCTCTATCTTACCAAGAAGTAGGTTGTGGTCTACTCTCTCGAACGCCTTGCTGAAACCCAGGTATGTGTATCCACAGCATTTCTCTGATCCGCTAATTTCTTTCACCTCGTCGAACAAGGCACAAACGTTTGTCCGTTTTGGACAAACCTATGTTGGCTTTTGGTTATGACCTTGTTTGCCTCTAGGTATTTGCCAGATCATCGTCGCTTGATTATCTTTTCCAGAATCTTCCCAGGGAATGCCGTATGGCTTTTAGGCCTGTAGTTTCCTGGGTCAAAAACGGTGCCATTTTTGAGAGGTGGGATTGTTTATTCTCGCCTATGCCTAGTCTGTTTTTTACGGTGCCTTTTTTGACAGGCGGGATTGCTTATTCTCGCCTATTTTGACTCGTATTCCTAATCTGTTTTTTACGGTGCTGTTTTTGAGAGGTGGGATTGTTTATTCTCGCCTATTTTGACTCGTATTCCTAATCTGTTTTTTACGGTGCTGTTTTTGAGAGGCGGGACTGTTTCTTCTCGCCTATTTTGACTCGTGTTCCTAATCTGTTTTTTACGGTGCCCTTTTTGAGAGGCGGGATTGTTTATTCTCGCCTATTTTGACTCGTGTTCCTAATCTGTTTTTTACGGTGCCCTTTTTGAGAGGCGGGACTGTTTCTTCTTGCCTATTTTGACTCGAAGCAGTTGTGCTTTCTCCCTGTTGCCCGTCGCCTTCTTCTTGCCGTTTTCTCCCCTCAATTCTCTCCCGTGCGAGCGACGGGACGCCGCTGACCGATTTGTCCCTTTCTCCCCCTTCCAGTTTCAGACCTGAGGATCGTCATGGTCGGCAAAACGGGCAACGGGAAAAGTGCCACCGGCAACACCATTTTAGGGAAGGAAGCCTTCACCTCCAAGATGGTGCCCAGGTCCGTCACTGCCAGATGTAAAATGGCCATGGGGACCCTCCTGGATAATAGGATTGTGGCTGTGATCGACACGCCGGGCTTTTTCGATACGAAATACTCGCGGCGGGTGACCGTTAAGGAAGTGAGAAGATGCTTGGACTTCTGCTCTCCGGGTCCCCACGTCATCCTCCAGGTCATCTGCCTGAGCCGTTTCAGCCGGGAGGAGATAGAGGTTGCTAAACTCCTCAAAGACATCTTCAGCCTCAAAGCGAAGACTTACATGATCGTCTTGTTCACCCGGAAGGAGGATCTGGAGGGGCGCTCTCTTCACGAACTGCTGTCCGAGGACAGCAACGACAACGAGAGCTTGCGGGCGCTGAGGGATCAGATTCAGAGTTGCGGGAACCGATGCCTGGCCTTCAACAACAAGGCGGTGGGGCGGGAACGGCAGGATCAGGTCGACGAGCTGATCCGGATGGTGGACGAGCTCGTGCGCCAGAACAATTCCAGCCCCTTTTACACCAAGGACATGATGGAGGAGGACAAAAAGAGCGTCCCCGGATGGCTGTGCAACATCCTGTGATTTTGGCGCTCCGGATAGACACGCCGTTCTGGCACGTCTGGACCGGAGGTGGCGGCCCTGGATCCCTCGGGCTGCGCCGTTATCCCAAAGGCGCGCTTTTCTCGTTTCCCCCCAAAAGTGCCACTGGACTTCGTTTTTCCCCCTGGAGACATTTCGCTTCACGGCCCAGAAGCTTCCTCGGTTTCTGACGGGTCTTCGGTTCCGACCGAAGAAGCTTCTTGGGAGGAGAAGCGAAATGTCTTCCGAGGAAAAACACCGAGAAAGTCCAGTGGCCTTTTGGAAAAGCACCTTTGGGATAGCCCTGGCGTGGATGACTGAGAATCCCCATAGGTTCCGTCAGAATAGAACGGGAAGGGACCTCGGAGGTCATCTAGTCCAATCCCCTGCTCCAGCAGGAGGCCCCATACAATTTGAGACAGGTGGCTGTCCAGTCTCTTCTTAAAAACCTCCAGTGATGGAGCGCACACAACGTCCGGTGGCAAGCAGTTCCACTGGTGAATTGTCCTCATAGTTAGGAAGTTTCTCCTTAGTTCCAGGTTGCGTCTCTCCTGGATTTAGTTTCTACCCGTTGCTTCTTGTCCTGCCTTCAGGCGCTTTGGAGAAGAGCTTGACTCCCTCTTCTTTGGGGCAGCCCCTCTTTGCTATTACCGATTTTCTTAGCTTCTTATAACTGTAACTTTGCTATTTGTATCTCATGATTACGTCAATTGCTTTTTATTTAGTATCCTATTATGAATTATGTCGATTGCTTTTATTTAGTATCCTATTATGATTTATGTCGATTGCTTTTATTTAGTATCCTATTATGATTTATGTCGATTGCTTTTATTTAGTATCCTATTATGATTTATATATCGGTTGCTTATTTAGTATCCTATGTCTATCACTAAGCGCTGTATCTTATGATTTAGGATGATCGCGTTTTATGATTTACCATCATGATTTACCAGTTCTTGCTTGTACGCACAGCGAGAGCTTAAGCACCGGAGACAAATTCCTTGTATATTCCAATCACACGTGGCCAATAAAGAATTCTATTATTTCTATTTCCATTTATTTCTATTTGTATTTATTTCTATTTGTATTATTTCTATTTCTATTTATTTCTATTTCTATTTATTTCTATTTCTATTTATTTCTATTTCTATTTATTTCTATTTCTATTTGTTTATTTCTATTTATATTATTTCTATTATTTCTGTATTTATTTCTATTTCTATTTCTATTTCCATTATTTCTGTTTCTATTTATTTCTATTTCTATTTATTTCTATTTCTATTATTTCTATTTTTATTTATTTGTATATCTATTTATTTCTATTTCTATTATTTCTATTGTTATTTCTATTTCTATTTCTATTATTTCTATTTATTTCTATTCTATTTTTATTTATTTCTATTTCTATTATTTCTATTCCTATTTCTTTCTATTTCTATTTCTTTCTATTTCTATTATTTCTATTTTTATTTATTTGTATATCTATTTCTATTTCTATTTCTATTATTTTTGTTTCTATTTATTTTTATTTCTATTATTTCTATTTCTATTATTTCTATTTCTATTCTGTTATTTCTATTTCTATTTCTATTATTTCTATTTCTATATCTTTCTTTATCTATTTCTATTATTTCTATTTCTATTCAATTTCTATTTTTATTTATTTCTATTTCTATTATTTCTATTTCTATTTCTTTCTATTTCTATTTCTATTATTTCTATTTTTATTTATTTGTATATCTATTTATTTCTATTTCTATTTCTTTCTATTTCTTTCTATTTTTATTATTTCTTTTTATTTCTATTTCTATTTATTTCTATTTCTATTTCTATTCTGTTATTTCTATTTCTATTATTTCTATTTCTATTTATTTCTATTTCTATTTCTTTCTATTTCTATTTCTATTTCTATTATTTCTATTGTTACTTCTATTATTTTTATTTCTATTATTTCTATTTCTATTATTTCTATTTCTATTTATTTCTATTTCTATTATTTCTATTTCTATTTATTTCTATTTCTATTAATTTTATTTCTATTATTTTTATTTCTATTATTTCTGTTTTTATTTATTTCTATTTCTATTTATTTCTATTTCTATTTATTTCTATTTCTATTTCT